CAGATTCAGATGGTTGACTAAGTATTTTATTGAGCCAATCTTCTCCGTCAGAAGTCACTTTGTCTCGAGATTTCCTCCCTCTATAGATATGAATAATTATTAACATTTACCATAATTTCATTACAGAAATACTCAAAACCAAATCAGGGTAAAATGTTTACCTGCTATATGATTTTTGGTTTTTACAGGTAGGAGAATTCCCCCTGTGAGGCACATTTTTCAACAAAGCTATCGAGTCACTGGAACACATGGACGAACTATCATCCACTACACAGGGACATGTTCCTCGTCTTCCATTTTGAACACCAATAATTCCACTGTTACTGGTTTCTGCGGGAGGAAGCACTTCAGAAGAATCAGTCTCCGAGTTGAACAAACTTGGGTCCCTCACTTCTGAATCAGAAAGAAGCGTTTCTGGAACGAGAACCACTGAATCAGATACATCAGAAACACATTCCGGAAAATCAGGTATTTCAAGGGCCATTTCTAACTCTGTGGTCAAGCATTCTTCTTTTTTATCCATAAAACTCCTCTTGTTTCAGTTTTGTCCTGCAGAATAGTGCCAAGCTTATAATCCCTTTCCTTGTCTTTCATTTTGCGGTTATTATCAGCTGCTCCACGTTTTACTTTCTGCTCACCCTCAGCAAGCCAAGCAGCCTCCTCACGAATGAGCTCTTCTTGCCTCTTTAAAGCAACAGCCTCCTGGTAGGCAACATCAATTTTACTGCAGTATCGCAAAGAACTTAGAAGCAGAATACAGCCAACGTATCAAATATTCAAAATATATAGATTCTACTGCCGAATCGCCAAAATATTATAAAGCACCCAGGTACAATGCTTTGTAGAGCTGATATGGGGGAAAGGCCTACTGATAGCAAACTCCGGTCAAAATGAAACTAATCCAAAAGAAACAGTGAGGAAAAGTACGAGTCCATTAAATTACTTTCTAATGGTACACTTTTATTTCAACACTATAACAATCTCTGATTATACAAACCTACTATCTTAAATCTTAAATTAGAATTATGGTACCAAGAGCAAGGTATCAGTTATCCTTGGATGAAAGAACACTGCCCTTGACCGTGGGAAGAGGATCAAGAATTATTCTTGTGGTACATCACAAGATACATAAGGGTGTCCATAATGGACACCCAGCGCCCCCCTATTGGTGGGGGGGGCCTGTGGGACCGGCACCCCAACCAATGAGAGAGAGCCGGATGTCCATTATGGATTCCCTGATGTAACTTGTGATGTACCACAAAAATTGTCCGAGGATCAATTATGCCCATCAGTAAATGAATTACCTGAAAATATGAGCCAAGAAAAAGATCTCAATAGTCCAACGACCAAGTTCAGTCAGTCGCCTCTCGTCACATTCAATTGAATCTTTGTTGAACTCCTCTCCAGCACTCCCATCCTAAAAATATTCAAGAAGCAGCATAAGCTCATTTGACAAGAATCTATAGTCAATACTAAGTTCATACAATGTTACAAAGTAGAAAGAGGTCAATATATTTAAAACCAAGCCAGAAATTATTAAAACCTGAGAAGAGAAAATATAGGAAAAAATTCCAAGATCATGCCTTGCACTTTCAAGACACATGAGCAGGACTGGTGATTCGGTTTCCATAGGTGAAACTCAGCAACACTTCAGCTGATGGAAGCAGTAATCGAATTTTGGTTTTTCTTGACACCACAATAAACTAAAAACATTTAAAATATCCTTTCTTTACACTAGATGAAGCACCCCAGGTGAGTGGTTTTACTGAACATAAATTCCAGTGCCCATGCTGATACAGTCCAGACGGGTCTAAAGTTTCTTTCATTGATATTATCACCCAATTAACATCCACCTGTCAATTGTCGTTTCCTACAAGCCTACTTCGTATAATATATTCTCATTTTTTGTAATATTCTAGAGTCAGTCCAGAAAACAACTTTCTCCAAGGCAACAGTAAAAAATCGCATCAAATCTTTAACTGTTGTAATCCCCGATTAATTTTCAGCTTTGTTATTCTAAATAAGTCAAAATAGTTAGGACAAATTCCTCAACCTTCTGTCTTCAGACTGCCCAGCATGGATACTTATTACATCACATATTACAAGCATCAATGCAAAATAATATGAAAATTGAACATAACAATATTCCAGCTTTACCACTAAATTTTTTTTTTTTTTTTGATAGGTAGCCACTAAATTGACCTTAGGGACTTTAACATTCGTTTGAATACACTAACTAGAATTTATAGAAAATTATTGGTCATGTTTACCTTCATGAACTGAGGTTAAAATAAATGAGGTTGATAACTTTTCGAGAATTAGGAAAGCAGCAAAGTTGCACAAGATCTTGCAACCATCTTACCTTCTTAGTGGACAGTTTAAGAGATAAGCACTTCCAGGAACTATCTACACTATTTAAAAAGAACAAGCGTGCACAGAAATTCTTTGCAGAATGCATATATAACTGATCATAATGATTCTCACCTTTGTACGATTCTGAGGACCCTTCTCATCCTTTGGAGGCAAAGGTTCAATGGCAGCCCTCTCAAGAAGTCGTAACACATCATCCACCAAGACAAACATATCTTTATCAATGCCAACAATAGGAACTGGTAATTCTTCGGCCTCTAAATATTTCAAGTTTCCTTGCTTCCCAATAGTCTGGCCTTCAAGAGCCATCAGTCCACTGTACAATGAATCCATGACTAGAGTAGATGTGACTTCTTTCTCAATGAAGAAATTCATCACGACTACTTTGAGTATTGATTCCATTCTCTCTCGGCACATGTGGAGCCTGGAACCTTGGTCCATACTCAGCCAGAAGGCACAGAAGCTGAAAAATATCACAAGTTACCCAGAAGTGTTACTTAAAATTCATGCTGATCATGCGAAAATGTTGTATCATATATCAGAAAAAGTATGTTCAAGTAATTCTACTATCAAAAATACAAGGTTTGAATAATGATTATACAAAATAATCAAGTAAATACAACATAAATGGCAAAACAAAATATGCAACGAGTAGAGATATTTATAACAATTCATGGGGAAAATATACGGGGAAGGAAAATAAGTTTCTTAAAAATCATGAATACTACCGTGATTAGCACAAAAAATGCAAATAAGATAAGAATTTATTGTTGTACAAGCTACAAAAGCAGCTGAATGTAAGTATCTAAAAGCTGTTTTTCACAATCTAAAATGAAAATTTAAAAAAAATAAATAAATAAAGAAAATGAAAACAGGCATATCCATTACCTTGACCACCTAGCTTTGTCCTCTATCAACTTTCCCAGCTTGTCCCGTTGTTCTTCAACGAAAAGATGGCAAATTTGTTCTGCATTTGTCAAATACACCCGAACAAGTTCCCTACTATATCGACAGTCAAGACAACAGAAGGGATGGTCTGCTTTCTCCCTGAGAAAAGCAAAGATTCAGATTATAAAAATTATTGTACAAAAACAATTAGTACATTGATTAGCAGTCACAGATGCACTGAATCACAATAGTAGTAAATTTAAAAGAACCCCTTATAGAAAAAAGATTTTAAACTTGACTCCGATCATACGAATAGAATTCAATATTCTCTACATATTTCTTTCTCTCGCTATTCTAAAAAGATAAGAAGCCAAATTGTCCAAATCCACTCCATAACTCATATTGCAGGAAGAGATTAAGCATGTTTCGTGGATGAGTTCAATCGATTACTATAACATGAAAATGAGTACTATCATATTGATATAGACCTGTATCCATAGTTACAGAACCAAAATATGATTCCAGCAATAAGTAACAGTTTCTTGTAAGGAGAGTCTGCTTCATCATTACTTCTTTCATATCATCCTTAATTTTTGCCTGTGTTTTCAGCTTTATTTTAGCTATTCACACATTTGGTAAATAACTCAACTGAACTTGCATATGATTATATGAATATACTCATTGAAAAAGTTGACACTTGTATGCACCCCCACGCACATGGTGCTTAATTCTTCACAAAGATGGATCTATCAGCTCTGAAACCATTCACAATCAACAAAATCTTAACCGTGCAAATTCACGCAAAAATAATTTGCACACCACCTGATGACTTGAACTTGAGCTTTAAAAGTCAAAGTATCCGCATCTATGAACCCGTCTAACACTTTAGATAGCTCCATAAATTTTTTCCATCACCAGTCGTGCTCCTTCCAAAAGCGATGTAAGGTGTCTGTAGGTTTTGCAATAAAATAACAAGACTGATCACAATTGCATATGGAACGCACAATTACAAAAAGAAATAGCAATAATTGAATAACTAACCAGAATACTTCGATTTTTTAGGATCTTTATTCACCACAGCAATAGTGAACTGAGCAAAATGGCTCCAACCTGTTTCCAAGACAAAAAATCACATAAGCTACAAACCAAAATTCTAATTTTCAAGTAATTCATCAGAGAACATTAAAAATTATCATACCTGGAAGAAGCTTGTCACGATTAGCCACGCAAAGAAACAAAGAGAGATGATCGCAGACATCGCAGCCTTGAAGGTAAATCAAAATATACCTACCATCCAAAGTTTGAATCGCAGTAAATATTTGCCACAGCATTAAATTGAATCATTATACTGTGTGCCTTATGTATACATACATACAAGAAATTAGCATTAGCAAACGAAACAGAGGAAAGAGAGAGAGAAATCACGCCAGAAGAAGTATTTTACTTTTATGCGTTAATTTGATTTGTGCAAACTACTTGAGAAAGATCTTGCCTCTCATATTGTCCGTTCGTGGTTTAAAAAAAATTATATAATATTCTTCAATATATCAACAAAGGGAGCATTTCATTCGTTATTGATATTAATCAATTTGAAAGTGCACAACACCATTGAAGAGGGAGAAAAAGAAAACAAATAAAAACTTACATATAAACATCATGCAGAAGCATTGTCTTACAGTCGTAATTTGAATGCAAAACAAGGAAGCAAAATCAAGCGTTTCTGGAAGGCCCTTTCCATATTTCTATGTAGCCATGAAGGATGCAGCAGAGCTACCATCTTCAACCTTAAACCAACTAGAAAAATATTCTACAGTATAAAGTGACAAAAATTCAAAAGTAAACCAAAAGAGAGAATCACCACTCAGGGTTAAACAATATAAAGAAAAATCAGATTTAGAAAATAGTCAAGACAATGCACATACAGGAAGTATAATCAAATGCTAAAGAATAGGATTATAGGAATCCATGTTATTATCGAACTATATATGCACAACACAGAAGAAGCAAATACTTGTGAGTGGCGTACCATTTGTAGCCACCAACCTCAAATGCATCACTCCGAAGTTCTCTTTTGTTAATTTGTGAAAACTTATCAATTTTCCATGTATACATTCCATATAATTCAGAAGGTTTTGGTCCTGCAATGTGAGGAAGCCACAAATAATAACTGAAGATGGCAGAGAAAACACAGACTTGAATGAACTAATAAACATGCATATATACCTCAACAGAAAATGTTAGAAACTACAGTATTTGCAAAAAAAAAAATCACCTAGGAGAATCTAAATCATCATCACTCTACCACTTCAAAAATTCAAATAGGATGTTGGGTACTTGTATAGCATGCAATTTCCTTAAAACCTCATGCTTCAATTGAAACTTGAGAACACATAATAATCTCGGAAACGTAAAAGTGCAGCTATTAACACATTGATATATTATCGACACATACAGAAAGAGTATCAAAATCATCCTGATTTCTTCAAAATCTATCTATCCTGAACCCAGTTTCTCCATCTTTCCACAAAGAAAAAGATGATATTCTGAACTTTGAGAAGTTCAGTTACTATTGAAGTTCTCCCAGCCCCCTTCCTTCCGAAAGAAAAGGATGAACTATCTTGAAGATCCTATACAGACATGCAGTGGTACAGCAGAGCAAACTGACAAACTGGAAGGAGTTCTATAAGGCAATGTTTAAAAAGGCATCATTGGATGCTGAGGCACTTTTCCTTCATGAGACGCGTAAGCCTCAAGACTTTTTGAGGCTTAAGCCTCACTGCAAACCAAAAAATTATAATTTGCAAGATAAAGGAGTAATAAATCATAAACAATCTTCATAATTCATAATGGAATAATTTAAAGTGAACAAACAAACAAATACAATTTTTTAATGTTTTAGTAATCACTGATCCCTAAGGTGGGTCAATCAAAATACACAATTTTTTAAATATTTTTATAATAGCTAGTGGAACAGTTGGCACGGAGTGGAGAGATTAAAATTTTTAATATTTTGTGGGCTCGTACTAAAAACAAAGTAATTAAGGCTGGAAAATTAAGGAGCGATCGTCTAACAAGCATTGAAGTGTAAGCCTCCAAAAATTGCTTCACAATGAGAGCCTACAGGTTTTTTCTGTTTGCCTCGCTCTTAAGGCCTCAAGGAAGGCCTCAATCACAACTGTTTAAACAATGCTGGAAGGCAACTTTGGGGCATGTTCATGACCATGCAGACAAAAAAAGAGAAAATTTAGCTACAATTTAAAATTTTTAATGGTGTTCTGGTTTCCTTCTTTGAGCTTATAACTAATGCACAATGATAACCATGATCAGAGGCCAACCAACTACCATCAAAACATTAAATACGGATCACATATCTTCTGAAGAATTTTATATGATGAATTTTGGTCAAATGATGCTGCAAAATTAAAGCTTCACAATTTTCAAAAGAATTCAAACATATCCTTTACTGCACAAAATCAACATCCACATTAATTCGTTATTTGTGGTTAATAACTCAATATACAAAAAGAAAAAATGGAGTCATGGCAAAGCAATAGCTTTACAGAATAAGTCCCTCGAGTGTTCGCACAAAGCACCAAATTGAACAAACAAGACCTTACAGAATAAAGGCTGTAGGATTTTGAGGAAAAGGACAATAGCGAACAATATGAGCGTCAGCCCTTAAAGCATACAATTCTATCAAAACTGATGAATTCTTCTTTGCTTTTCAATTTCAGTTTTACCTTTTCATCTTTATTTTCTTTTCCCTCTTCTGAGTGACGGTATGGAGGATCTTGACTTTGTCCTTTAATGCCAGATTTTCTTTATATAGATTTAGCATTTTGAGGAAAAAGACTCTCACGAAAAATATGAGCATCAGCCCTTAATTAGATGCATACAATTCAACCAAAACGGATTCTTTTTCGCTTTTCAATTTCAGTTTTACCTTTCCCCCTTTAATTTATTTTCCCTAATTGGTAGGCAGTTAGGAGATCTTGACTTGACCCTTTAATGCCTTTTTTTATTACATGGTAACTAATGAGCCCACACCTCGACCGCCCTATGGCGTAAGTGTAACAACCCAAGTCACGAGCTCGGTCATTCTCTTACGTATTGTCCGTTCTGAAAGAGCCTAAGCACATTTTACCCATTATGGGTTTCTATCACGTTCCCAGGATTCGCACATATGACATTTCCCTTAATAGAGACTTAAGTTGAAGAAAATGTTATAGGTTCGAATCCTGAAAACGCAATAGAAATCCATAAGAGAACGGTCAAGTGAGGTCCGGATCGTTACAAAAAAATGCACATTTTTGTAAGTTTCATAAAAGCTTTACAATGGCACTCAAGGTGTAAATTTCAAGTGTAAGCCTCAGACAAAAATGTAGAGATACCCTTTAGGGAGCCCATTCCTCAACCACTTTGCAGCGTAAGCCTAGTAAGTCGGGGCATAAGACTCATCAAAGCTTTACCAAACGGCAGTCAAGACGAAAGGTTCGAGACATTCAACGAAAGCCACACGTGATGCACACCTCAAGGTGTAAGCATCCAACAAAAATGCAGAGATAACACGTGAATAATGTCCAACACAATATAGATAGATATCATAATATTGTGTCAATCTTGACAAAAACAGAGCCAGAAAAATAAATTAATTAAACAATTATGCTATTTGTACAATGTTGGATACAACATTGATTGACAATGTTGATGTACAAAAAAACTGTTGGTAGAAAAAACTGACAGTTTTTCAATCTGTCCAATGACAACATGCCACGTCACATGTTGTCAACAATGTTGTCGATGAACATTGTACACCAAGGTTCTTATTTAAAATGGCTTCCAAGTAACCTAATGGGGACAACTAGCATACCATCATCGCTGCTATCCCAGTAAGGGGACGAGGTTGATGGGATCCCATTTTCCAGCTGCTCAGAAGACCTCCATTCCGCCAATGCTTCCCAAGGCTGGCACTGCTGCTGCTGCCCAGTAGAAACCCCTTCCAGTGACTTTGACCTCCCTGCTTCAGACTCTTCAGTAGCAATCTCAGCCATTTCCTTCCCTTCTCAACTCTCACCACACTTCCCCTCCTTCACCCTGTTTCAACACAACACAAACTATAAACACATCCTATTCATAGACATACAAACACACAGCAGGCAGCTCTTAGATAGCAAAAAAACAATAAACACCGCAACACAACGTGTTTATTATTCAAATTCATCTACCAATGTGGAGTGAATTATATGGAATAAACTTATAATTATATGATTAAAAAAATGTAAGCTTTGAGAACAAAATTATAAAGGTCCCTTCAAGTTGACAAATACAAACCCCAAATTGCAAATACAATGAATTAAACTAAAACTAAATTAAACCCATTTCAAAAATCCTAAAACTTGAGCTCATATCAAAATACAAAACAAAAATCATTAAGCCTCAGTTCTCACATACCCAAAATTCACAAAAAGTAAATATCTTCAATCCCATTAAAAAGGATCAAAACTTTTAAAAACAATCATCAGAAAAAATGTAGCACCAATTTATTCACTTGTCTGATTCGGATTAAAGCCATAGAGAAAGTCTTCTGCATGTGAGGCATTAAGTGACAGTAAGCTTTAGGAAATCGTCGTTGGAACTTGAAGCCAAACTAATTATCAAACATCATATCAGAAGATCATTAGAACCGCAGCTAAATTTTCAAAAATTAACCCGATCAAGGTAACCGTAAATTAAACAAAAATTAAGCTAGTCGATAAATTCTTTTAAAGAAATAATGTTAAAAGGATAAAATCAGATCGAAATAGAAATGGAGAGAGAGAGAGAGAGAGAGAGAGCGAAACGTTTTTGTTAATTAAGCGAACAAGAAGTTGCCGAGAGATAAAGGTTTAAAGGTAGAAAAAGAGAGATTTTAGAGGTAGATGGGAGCAGGGGCGGACGCTTTAAACTTAGGGGCATTATTCAACTTGTAAAATTAGTTTGGAGAAATTTTATAATCTAAAATTTACGTCAAAAAAATTATATTCGTGTAATTTTGTATTCAAAAATTTATATAGAATATAAATTTTTCAGATATAAAATTTCAAAAATTTACATCCAAAAAAATCATACCCCGTGTAATTTTGCATCTAAAAATTTACATAGGATATAACTTTTTTGAATATAAAATTTCGAAATTTTTTGATGTTATGTTCCATGTAAAATTTCATAATAAAATGATGAAAATTATATTGAGAAATTTGTATCGAAAAAATAAAAATGTTAATGAAATAATTGAATTTTTTTTAAAAAAAATGCGAGTTAAACATCTTTTTTAAAGAGTCGCGTTTAACGTATTTTTAACTATTTTTAATATCTGTTTGGACTATTCGATATGCCTATAATGTAGTTCTCGAAATAAACTTTGAGATGATATAAGCAATTTGTAAATCCGATTAATTTATCGTCAGAGAATTTTTAAAATTAGCATATTATCGAAATTCAAATTTATTATGAATTTGCCCCTGTTTGGTATTGATTAAAATCAATTTTTTAGGAAATTTTGATAAAAGTTAAACAGTTATGGGTTCCATGAAATACGCTATGAAAATTAATTGTTAATTTAGATTTAGATTAAAATTTAGATTTCAATCAATACCACACGTGACTTTAAAAACCAAAAAAAATTCTCAAAAGTTGGGGGGCACGTGCCCCCCAGGACCCTCTGGGTCCGCAATGGATGGGTAAGAGAGGAAGCAGAAGAAAAAAAGCACAGTCCAAATGAATTTATAAACCTGGAAATTCCATATAACCAAATTTTATAAGTTTCCAATTCAAAAATGATTTGAAAGTTTTTTATTCAAAAATCAGATTTAATTTTTAATATTAAATTAAATTAACCTACAACCTTCACTTTACCCACCCCACAAGCCCTAATTCATTTTGAAAAACATATTCTCCCCGCTGCTTCATTTGAACCTCTTCGACAACTCCTCAAGGCGCTCACTCCGGCGACTCGTCACGACATGGCGACAGAGCCGACTTTCCTTCGTGCACAGCAACGCATCGTCGTTGCGCTCAATGCAGATCCATTCTTCTTCTTCATTTTTTTTTATTTTTGAGTGGTGCAGTAATAGACGATTCGGTGGTGATTCTGTGGTACGGTGGTGGTGATGTTGTGTTGGTTTTATAATTGCGGTGATGATGAAGGTGTGCGGTGGTTGGGTGCGATGGTGCAGTATAGTAGTGGTTGGTTTGGTGGTGATGTGTTGGGTGTGGTGTTGTGTATGGTGGTTGGGGTTGGGTACGGTGGTTGGGTTTGATGGTGCTATGTTCAATGGTTGGGTGGGGTTGTGTAGTTGGGGTGCTGGGTGCGATTGTGTGGGCTTAGTGCGGTGGTGATGTGTTATGGTAGTGTACGGTGTAGTGGTCATGTGCTGTGGTGGTATACGATGCGGTGGTGGTTGTGCTGTGGCATTGACCGGTGTTTGGGTATGGTGTTGTGCGCGGTGGCAGTGTGCGATGCTGTATGCGGTGTGGTGTTGGCTCTGGTAGGTGTGTAGTGTGCAGTGGTGTTGATCGCTTATCGTGAGTTGATGGGGTGGCTCTAACGGTGGTGTTTGACGGCGTTACTATGTGCGATGCGGTGGTGAAATGATGGTCACAAATGATGGTGGGGTTACAAGTTATTTAGTTGATTGTCACGAATAAATTAATTAATGTGTGATCAATAAATAATATGAATCTATTACTTGAGATTATGACCAATAAATTGAATATTTTGTGACATATATATTTTAACGAACTTGTGATCAATAAATAACACGTAACTTAAAATTCTAAGTCGTGGCTTATAAAATTTGTCATTTGTAACTGATAAATAAAATTTGACTTATAATTTTTTGATTCGTGACTGATGAATAGATTATGACCTATAAAATTTTTGATTCGTGACCCAAAAATAATTTATAATTATTTTGATTCGTGACTGATGAATAGATTAAGACCTATAAAATTTTTGATTCGTGACCCAAAAATAATTTGTGACTAGTTAATTCTATAATATGTAACCAAATAGAATAGAATTGCAACCTTAATATATTTAATTAATAAAATATATATATTTAATTAATTATTTCATAAATATAATATAATTAATATCCGATTTTTGAAATTTCAAACATTTCCCCTTAATTTTGAAATGGACCATACCTTATCTCTTACCTATGAAATTTTCCTTTTATAAATTATGCGTTTATTTGCTTGTTAATAATTTCTTAGCAAAAATGGTTCTCATCTTTCACCGTAGAAAACATTCTTACTTTTTATTTTGTAACATTTGCACCTTCCATTATGCAAAAAGTTATTTTTATTCATTTTCTCAATTAAAAATTGTGAAATGATAAATGTACCATTCTATTTAAATAAAAGAAAAAGCAAAAAAATAATTGTAATCGTAGTCCCATATTTAAAAAAAAAAATCTAAATGAGTCTCAAATAAATTATTAAAATGATAATTATCACGTAATGTCCCTACCTTTCAATATTATTGCAAAAAATGTCCCTACTTTTTTTTTTTTTCATTTTCACCCTTAATTACACATTTAATTGTACATACGATAATTTCTATTTATTTTTATCAAATTTCTCAATAAAGAGTTGTGAAATGATTAACATACTATTCTATTTAAGTAATAAAAAAAGAAAATTAAAGAAAAAAATTTTCAATTTTTAATTTCTTTATAATTTATTTGGGACTCGTCTACACTTTTTAATTTTTTTTAAAAAAATTCTTATTTTTTAATAAATTTAATTGGAACTCGTTTGCAATTTTTAAAAAATTAATTTCTAATTTTTTAACATTTTATTTGGGAATCATTTGCACTTTATTAATTTCTAATTTTCTAATAATTTATTTGGGATTCTTTTGCACTTCTTTTAGAAAAATTTCATTTCTAATTTTTTATTAATTTGTTTGGGACTTGTTTGTACTTTTTTTAAAAATTTGGGACTATAATTGCAATTATTCTTTAGCTTTTTATTTAAATACTAGTGTTGGTCCATGCGATGCATGGAATTTCTAATTTTGAAGATTTCGTTAGCATTGGATATAAAATCTTTATTGAATAGTGTAGGAACTTTAAATATGAGAGAACATTGAATAATTAAGAGGCATTTGGAGCAACATATTGTGTCAATAATATGAAGACTTATTTTATGTTATTGTGAGATAGAAGAAAAAATATTTCTGTTAAATATAGGCAAAGGAAAATGTTGTAACATGTGATTAAGGGTAAAGGGCAATAAATTTGTATGTACCTTTGTACATGCAATTATAAGATTTGTTTCTCAGTTTAAAAAGTATCGATCGAAACAAATATCAGTTGTAATTTTTCGTCTATATATAGTCATCCTATCTGCTGAAACTGACTCTATTGGATATCCAAGCACGAAGCATTCTATGTACTTGAGCACAAAAACACCGCAGTTTGGCCTGTGGAAAGAAATTGGTTTATGTTAAACGAGATTAGTGTGATAAATAGATATTTGGGAGTGAAATGTTAGAAAGAATAAGAAATAATTAAACTGCTTACCCATTATTTACACAGGGTTGATATAGTATAATGTCAACGTCTATAGATGTGGTTGCAGTTTTCTTCACGTATCGTCTGTAAGCAAAAAATTCTAGTGCATTTAACATGAGTACAGTTAAGTCTTTGACTGCATTTGAATGGGCTCTGATTAGGTCTGGTGTATGGACGTTGTTGCTGCAGTCGTAGATTTCGAATTTTCATTCGGGGATATTTACGTGATAGAGGTACCAATTGTTGCCCGGTAATGAAGATGGAATTAATAGATGTTTGTATCGTATCCATGGACGAACGTCAATTGGAAGAATGCCATTTACATACTTTTGTAAAGTGGCTAGATTCCCTGAAGTTCTAATAGTGCCTTCTTTGTGGACTTCAGCGTGCAACAACATAAGATTATTACATTCATAATCGTAGTTGAAGTCTAGAATTGCATAATCTTTTGATACAGGAGAAGAGTCGTCGTTGATGAGTCGGCGTAACAA